TTATTTTTCAAACATTATCACATTCTGAACCATCATTTTCCAGCAGACATTCCCCTGACAGGAAGGATATACACTGTGTAAGACATTTGCCAAGCAAGTGAAGCAGCACACTTACTCAGAAAGTGTTATATAAACGATGAGATACAAAACTATGGTACTTGATTAGTTGTGCTGTAAACAATATTTACCTTATTCCAAGGCAAAAAAAAAAATAAGAATCAGATTTGGCAAAAAGATTGTGGAAATGACTTTATAAACCGAACCTGGTGACTGCATTGCCTGAAAGCAAGAATATAAAACTATTCTATCCTTTCTTTTTAGTTCTGTCAAAGGATTTAGACGTGAAAATTGGTACAGTAGGTCTTATGCCGAAATTAACCTAAAATTAACATGCTAAAAATGTCTTGTAAGCATGCACTCCATACAGATCAAATAAAAGGAATTTTCAGAACAGCACACTTGTTTCTAGAATCTACTTATGTCACTTTTCCAAAAAAATTATAAAGCTCACGTATTTTTTATTTTATCCAACTACTACTTGAAGACTTTAACTGAGAGATTTGTGAACAGAGAATAGATGTATTACCTGAGTACTGGCAAATCAAGGTAATCATACTGCTTATTTTGTTTGTTTTTCTTTAAAGTAGAACAGATTTACATTTTATTTTGATTTAGATATTCTATTTTATAACAAATGAAAAACAGAGAGACTAAAATAGCAAGGTAAATGTTTTGCAAGATTCTAGTTTTAGAAGTTTAAGAAATTGTATTTTCTAGAAAGGCAAGCAATCTTTAAACACCTGGCATTAAAGAAGAAAAAAAATCCTTCAAACCTTGGATCTTCTTCAAATATATATTGGGTTCCTTGCCCGTGGTGCACATCCCAGTCAACAATTAGGATTCTGTACAGATCAGTAAAAGAAAACATTCAGAGGAAGAGCCACAGCATCTTAATCTACAGAAGGTATAAATGTTTTTCTGAACCAAAAGGAACATGACACCCAGAAAGCTCTAGACATTAATCTGAACTAGTACAATGTCAAACTGTTTACATATCAAAAGCTTCTCTACAATCAACCATGCACTTACCTCTGCAGACCATATTTCAGTTTTGCATATTCTGCTGCAATAGCAACGTTGTTGAACAAACAGAACCCGTTAGCTGCATTTCTCTGGCTGTGGTGACCTGGAGGTCTGAACCAAAATTTTATAAATTATTCACAACAAAAGCAATTTTGCTAAGTGAAAACTTACTTACATATTTTCTTACCTGACTAATGCCATTCCATTGCGCACTTTTCCTGACATCACAGCGTCCACCAGCTGCAAAGTTGCTCCTACTGCTAATCTGGCACAGTGGAAAGTGCTCTGAGAAAGAGAAACTCATCAGCTTAAACAAGGTGCACATGACATGCTTTAGCATCCCAACAGCAAATTGTCTTGACTTAATTCTACCCCACTAATGCTATATGAAAATAGCTGAAACAGAACTTTACAACACAGGTCCCAGTGTGCTTTCCCCTATGATTACCAGTGATCAGCATAACCTTTATAAGGATGTTCTCTGTGGAGCAGGTTAAAAAATGTGAGACGGATGTACTGAATGGAATAACATGGCATCTTTGAAAACAAGGAATTAAACCCTACAGAAACATAACACTGAAGACCTCATCTCCATTTCATGCCACAATATTTAAGAGCAACAGTTACCAAAATGTGATTTGCAGGTCACTAATGGTCTACACAGTAACATTAAGTGACAAAAATAGAGCTAAAATTTGAGTAGTACATTATATTGGTATGATGCAATTACAAAATAGATGACAGGATACTTGGGCAACTTAAATTACAGCATTATACTAAACTAGAAACAGATGATGATAGTATCATAAATAAACATGAGACTACATCAGTAGCAAAAAATGTATTTTAATCCTCCCCTTCTTAGAAAAATGCCACTCAGGTGCAGTAACACAAATAGTTGTAGCTCCCAACAACAGAAGCAGTTTAACTTACACACCGGATGAAAGAAAAAAGCATCATAATTTTCAGAGACCCTTTTCAGCTCCTCCTCATTCATTGTCTGAGTACTTTTTGCCACTTCCAGGTGCTCTAAACTGTAGGGGAAGGAGAGATTAACACACCACTTAAGTAGGCATTTTTAGAAGTTTACTTGTATTCCTATGTATAAATCAGCAATCATTGCTTAAGACCCCACAGAGTGAGAATGTAAATTTAGTGGAATAGCAGATTCATAATTCACCACCCATGCCACACTTAACATTGTGACACATTCTCCACTGAAATTAATGGAAGCCATAGAATTTTAGAACACTCTTTTCAAATGGAACAAAATACCATCTGGAGACATGAGATCTGCTGTTTCATTGAAATAATCTGAATGAAAGTTAAGTTTCAGACCTGTGAACCAACAGGATCTCCTCCTCGCTTCCTTCTCTGGCAGGTACATGGACACATCTCTCCACAAGCTGGTAACTTCTAAGCTGCTCATAGGAGGATGAAAGTCTTTCTGGCACTTCAATATCACAAATGGGACTAAAATTAAGCAATAATGATATTACTATACTATACCAGCACAGATAACTAATACACTTAACAAAACCTAGCTTTTAACTCCCCATTTTAAAATTACCCTAAATAAGAGATACATGAGAGTAAAAATGGGAAAAAAAAAATCTTTTAAGTATTTTCTGTCTTGGAACTAAGTCAGAAATTGATTCTAAAAAATGTAAGCAAAAATGAATCTTAAAAAACCCCAAACAAACAATACAATAGCATCATTTTTTGTTTCCTCTCTCACTGGTAAAAAGCTGCAATGCTTAACTAGAGACACAGGAATGCTGCAATTAAAAGTCTAGGTTACAATGAAGGTGAAGAGAGGAGGTTTGGGAGAGAAGACAACAACGGACTGTTAACTCTAAGCACTGCATATGCAAAAGGAACTCCTCTAATTTATGCAAATTTAAGTAATACACCAATTTCTAACTGAATGTAATTGACATATTTCAGCTGAGTGAGTATATCTACATAGTTTTCCAAGGTCAATGATACTTTAGCTTTATAAACAATTTAATTAGCTTAAAAGACACTATTTAGGGGGCTACTCAGATGCCTCATCCTAGCACCTCTTGTTAAGGCGTCCCAGATTGGATGCCTGCAGCTTCTCAAATCCAGTTTCAGATAATCATTACAGTATCTAGATACAAATTGTGAATACAATCTTTTTTTTCCTCCTAAAGGAAAGATCTTCTATTTACACGAAAATGAAAGGAAGTATCACCAGATACTTACTATTACATTTACAGAAAGTGCATTTATTTAGTACTGCTCTCACGAGTCCTGTTAAGAATCTATTAATAAAAACAACAGCAGCGACTTACTCACTCCAAAGTAGTTTGTGAGTGGTCATCTCCTCATCATAAATCAGCGCTGTTCCTGAAGCCATTGCTACAACTGAGCAGAACAAAAAACCCAAGACACATAATTCACATCAGAAGCAAACTTAAACCAGTTACTATTACACTAGACAGCGAGGATATAAGAACAGAGTATACCTGCTTGCATGAGAGTTTTGTACTTCAGACTTTGTACTTACAGAACGAAATTAAAGAAAAACATTAAGGACTCAGATTCTGACAAAACAGCACCCACCGAAACTGGGTGCGGGCAGGCAGGCTTCACAATGGCCGAGTGTTGGCGAGCTGGGCGCTGGCACTCCTGCTGCGGGGGTACCCCCAGCTCCCCGAACCCGCACAAGCAGCTCAGGCTCCGAGCACGGCCGCCCCCTCCCTCCATGGCACACAGACCCACCTGTGCGGCGAGGCCAAACAGCTGCGGGGAGACCTACGAAGCCACAGAGGAGAAACAGCAGGGTTTCGTACACCGCGGGCAGAACAGTTTCAGAGATCCCCCCGCGGCCCGGCAGCCCAGGCGCGGCCCAGCAGCCTCTCACCGCCTCACGACAGGGCGGGAGGCGGCGCGGCCCGGCCCTGGCTGTGGGCGTGCCGAGCGCGGCCGCGCTCAGGGGGCTCCNGTGCCTGTGCCGGTGCCGGTGCCGCGGAGCCGGGCGGGACGGGAGCATCGCGGGGCCGCAGGGCCGTGCCCGGGGAGCCCCACCGCTGGAAAGGTTTTGGAACTGACCCAAGAGCGAAACAACCCACAGCCCTGGGCTGCGTGACATCCTCCGACATAATGAAAAATAAAGTAAGAACCTGGACCTAATACAAAGGCACCTAATACAAACCTGCACTTTTGGGGAATGTATCCGAAACCCAGATCATTACAGGTGCGAATTTTAGAAATCTACTGCCCATGACCTTTCCCCGTATTTGTTTCAAGAAAATAAAATATTTGACACTGTATTATTGAAATTGTTTCTAATTTATGTATTACCACCTGTAACTGTGTTTGTTTTACACATTTATATTTATTATACACATTTATAAAACTAAAATTAAGTCAAGTTCTGTCCATCTTCATGTAGTCTATACACGCCAGTGTATTGCACTGACCATGAGGATGGTAATCATGCGCCTACTGTGATATTTTATTTTTTTTTTTATATTTTGACTCCATTAGCTCCCCGCAGACCATTTGGAGAACGGGTAAATTTTATAAACTAACTTTTGTAATGTGTCTGAAAAATTAAAAAGGACTTTTCAGTAACAGGGATCTGATTTATGACACCCAGTAACCAAGTCCTCTTGCGTCTGGGGCCAATCATACCGTGTTTAATTATTTATTCTTCTCTTTATTCCACTCTGATTCCGGCAAAAGCGACCAGCAGAGGGCGGCCTCCTTTCAAAATACTCCAACGGGAGAAAATGAGTATTCGTGAAATATTAGACAAGGGAAAGTTTAGGAAACTGGAGAAAATGGTAGAGTGGGTGGTATAGACAAATACATTAAAAGTAGTCAGCTGGATTTGAAACTGGTTTATGCTGTTTTTTTCACGTATTACAATTTTTTAAAATCATAACTCAAAGAAACATTTATCCATAGCTGTTGAAGTCCAAACTGGACAAGAGTAGCTGTAACACTACCAAAAGGAAGCCTGATAACACTGGGGTTTGAGTTCAGCTTACAATACAATTTAAAAGGAAATTAAAGCTTTATATTGAACGTATAATACATTGCTATTTACAAGATAGGTTTGGCATGAGAAGCACAATCATCTTTTTACAAATAATATGATAAATATTTACAAGCATTTATGGTATCTCCACTTCTGAGTGGCCAAAGTCAGCTGGGAGTCCTTCCTCTGCCAGCGATAAACCTGTTTTACTAAAATGATGCCCTCCTCAATATTCCCCACAAGGAGATACACCATGGGACGGTGGGTTGGAGTCATCCTCTCTATACATTTTTCATTAATTAGCAGCCACTGTTGTATCATACTCTGAGTTTCGTAGGGCAAGAGTGAGCCCTGGGTAATGAATTCCACCTGGCATTCAATGTTATACTCTTGGTCCTCAAATGCTGTTCTCTTCTTGGACAGCTTTACTTTCACTGCTAAGGAAAAAGCAAAAGGAAATGCAAGTCACACCATTACTCAAATGCAATAAGAAACAGTACCAGTGAAAACAGGATAATTCTTTTAAAATGCCATCATAATTTATGCTGACAGAGTATGGTGAGGCCTTTTCCAGCAGAAGTTTAAAACATTTTTGAAAAATAAATTTTATGTAGTAAAGGTTTTTTTTTTCCAATTGCATTAGGTGACTAGGAAAAAACATGAGTACTTTATTTTTACCATCAGCATGTTACGTCAGACTTTGGGTAATTACATCTTGTAAGCTGTTGGTCTTGTTCTTGTATCACAAAACTGTCCAGCAACTGCCCAAGCAATTTTCCTGAAATTCACCTAGTCCATGTGTAGAATGCCTCGGCAAAACCAGCTTGCTGATACCACTCTTTTAGACATTCCCTTTTCATTATAGGCATCTACCTACCCCACTGGACTCCATCAATACTTTTTAGCATGACATTTGTCTGCATTTCTTGATCTAATGCTCGCTAAAGTCGCTGAAAGTCTTTGCACTGCTATCAAAGAGCTTTCCAAGAAGTCTCTAGGGCAAACTCCACTCATCACTCCAATAAGAAAACAGGAGGTAAGAATTCCTTTTACTGATATGATTTTCTGAGTCTCCTTCTGAGTAAATTAGGTATCACAAAAAACTTGTTCACAAAAGTAAATATACACCATATACTGGTATAAAATCAAAGCTTTACTTTCAATTTAAATGCTAATAAAAAGCAAACTTGCTTATTTGGCTGCTTTTGACAGAAATATTTTACATAAAGCATGCTGTAGCCAACTAGACCAGCTATTTGGTTGGAAACTAGATCATTAGTAAATCTTTCATGCACAATAAATTCTCCTTATATTTAGATTAGAAAGAATTTATTCTGAAAATCAACCTGAAGCTAAGTTAGTAGCCAAACTCTTAATCCTTTGAAATCCCTGCAAAAACTGTCACTAATTGTAATCCTACTTTTAAAGCATTTAGAAGAAGAGTTAGTCTCTTTAACGCCAGGTACATTAGCAAGGACTTACCAAAGTTACTGTCACAGAAAACTTCAAGAACTCTTTTGTGTGTAAAGAATTCCTCCACTGTTGGGCAGGTCTGGCAGGTAGGCTTTGGTAGGACTGATAAGAAATTACAAAGTCTCATTGTTATCTTATGGAATAATTTGCTTTATTTTTCTGCTCTCAAAGCTGAGAACCCACTGTCTAACCACTGGGATGACAGACAAAATACAAATACAGGGCCGGTAATAAGAGGTAAAAAGTCAACACACTTCCTGAAAACAAGGCTAGAGATGAAAAGGCATTTCATTTCCCATGCACATTCAGCCCTTGTTCAGACTGACAAGATCAATTTTCAGCAACAAATAAAGTAACAAATACAGTATAATTTTTAACACAATTACAGTAGGTGGTAAGGGGTTAGGTAGCTGATTCTGTCAGTCACTCTGAGTTCAACTCAGCCTGTGAATATATATGAATTTGGGTGTGTTAGCAGGAACTTAATCTTACTCTTTTCCATAAAATTAGCAAATGTGAGTGCATTTGAAAATTTGAACATTAATGCCAAGATAGCTCATGTTTCTTTAAGAAAAATCAGATAAAATCATCCAAATTTTCCTAAGCTGATCTGAGAACCAACTTGTATACATAAATTCATCTGTGATGAGGGCCATTGGTAAGTCTATGAAGAGACCTCAAAACAATTCAAACACGGTGTGCTGCAGTGTGTATGACACTGCCCATAGCTGTGCAGGGTGGTGCCTCCTCCACTATCACAGCATGGCCTGCTGCACTGCTGACTGACAGCACAGGAGGTCTGCAGCTCGCACTGCCAGCACTGGCATCTGCCACCCCTCTGCACAAACACGTGAAGCAGTAAAGGTAGACTTGACTGCATTTACAAAATCACAGAATGCCTGGAAACAGTGTCCCCTGGATCTCCTTGATGCCTGGGAACACAGCATTTGGCCACCCTCCCCTCCACCATCCTCGAGCTACCTTTGTGCAAGTATTTATAGTCCTTGGTGAGAGGTGCCAGGCACATGTCCTCGTCTCCAGGGAATCGGTCGCAGTCCAGGCTGGCAGGCCAGGGGTGCCCATGGCAGAGGAGCACGGGGGCACAGCTGTCCCGGACAGCAGCACACATACTCCTGCAAGGATGGATGAACCTGTTGTCGGAGGAAATACCAGGCAGAGTCAGCTCAGTGATAAAAGAAACTATTGCAACAGTGATTCCTCTGCAAAGTACATAGTCTTTGCTGACATTTAACATCCTTCAATAGTAATATAATTCCAGAAGCAGCAGCTTTGCAAATTATGCAAGCGGTCTGTGTATGGACTGAGCTTACAATATTTAGTTATGATTTAAAAATCCTGTTTATGACAGCCTGAGAAAAGCTTCAGTACGAGCCTTATTCTATTCACTGCAGGCGCTTCAACCCCAAATGAATAAGACTAAAGTTCAACTGTAACAAAATAAAACATTATATCCTTTGACAACACCATTCGTGTTCCCAAGGCAAACAGAAGTTGAATGAGTTACTTTTTTTTTCTGATGAATACAAAAAAGCTAACAGAATTACTTCAGAAAAAAGTGGAGATCACCTTTAGATTATGACAAACTTATATTTGATTTCATTCCTGTTCTAGCAAATAAAGGCTGGCGTTTTGTACTGTGCTTGATACTTACGTATCTAAACAGATGGGTGCAAACAGGGAGCACAGGAATGTCCTCACGTGAGGGTGACAGTCTGTGTGTACAAGGTGCTGCCAGGTGGTGGATTTTAGGATAACCTCTGCCATGCTTGTGTGTCCCATCAGGTTGGGAAGTCTCATTTCAGAGTATCCAATCTTGTGGCACATGCCCATCTCCTTCGGTATCGCTATGCATTTCGTGGATAATCCAATGTCCAAGCCTGTTGCCACTCTTAGGAAACCATTCATGGCAAAAACAAGGATTTTTGCAGTCAATAACATCTTCCAGTGACTCCTGGGCTGCTGAACAGGGAGCTGTCAAACCACTCAAGTGCAGAGGCATGCTGAAAACCTTGTGGCTTATATATCCCAAGAGCTTAATGAACTGCTGGTTATCAACTGCTTATCAAATCACTCGAGACAAGACCAGGTCTTATTGCCTAATCAAGGGATTGTTGTGACAGCCAGTGAGGTGGAGAAAACTTACAGATGTATGTTCCCCTAGGACACTGACTTGGAACAGCCTTTCACATGTCCCATGGTGTCAGTGGCTGCAGCATGCTATGTAGCATATTAAATTTTGGCACCTGGAAGGTTCACTCTGTTCTTTCAAAAACAAATTAAGAGATCCCCCAGAAACAGGGTTGGGCAGACATGCTGTCTCCTGGGGCATCTGTGTCTCCTTTGTTTTCAGACACTGCTGACATGACAGAAAAAGCCAGCCCAGATTGACTTATCAAGTGAAAATGTTGTGCTTGTGCTAATGGCTCATGTCTTTTCCACTGTTTTACAATGTAGAAGAGGCACTTTCTTTTGTCAAGCAGTATAAAAGAGACAGACGTCTGCTATTAACCAAGTATTTTGACTGGAAATTTGGATTCCTATTCTGTGATATGCTAAAGGCCCAGCTTCTATAAATTTTAATAGACACCTGAAAATACAGAATTGAATTTGTAGCACTGTTCTGACTATCAGTATTTATTCAGGAAAAAAGCAGTTATACATTTTTATTATTTTGTATGAAGCTATCTACATTTAAACATGCTCAAATAATGCATAATTTCAACTATTTATTAATAAATTATAATTATGTTGAAGTGTATCAAAGCAAAGTCTATAAAGTGTATCAAAGTGTATCATCATAACAGATGTGTACTTTTTCTGTTCATAGCACAGAAATGGTGTTATCACTGTGTACAGCTCTTTGCTATAGAGAAGCTGGGAACCAGTTAAGATGAAGAGGATCTGAATAATGCGTAGCTTACCTATTATGAAAAGTCAGACTATGAGTTTTAAAAGCTGATGATCTAAACAAAGCATTTTGTGGAGATTTTTTTTATTTGATGAAAATATTTTTTTCCAATTAGTTGTAGGTGTTAATTTTTTATTTCCACATCTGGTTACACTATTTATTAGCAGAAATGTTTAGCTATTAATAATTTGTAGATCAATCTACTGTAAAATATATCTTGGATATTAAGCTAAAATAAGTATGTTCATAATAGTGTATCATCTAGTATTACTGATGCTTGATTGAAATACATTTCTTCAGAAACTGTAGTTTATGTGCTTATACTGAGATACAGAGACTTAAGACAATGCATCACATATAATTTACATGTTTATACTTAAAGATTAGGTTACTAATTCTAGCATCTTTGAAACCAAAAACAACCCCCTACTGCTTCCTCCTTAGCGGCCTTCTTTACTCTAAGCTACAAGTAAAATTACAGTATCTGTTTAAATAAGTAGAAAAAAATGGCAGCTTGCAAGGTCCCAGGAACTAAAAATGTATTTAAAACAATGGCCCCTTTTTCCTCTCATGCTTTGTTGCCAGAATGCTGTTTTTTCCCAGCAAATGTGGTTTTTCTGTATCCTATCTCAAAGCAAAGGAACTGAATACCTACCCAGGCTGCCTTAGGCCTGATGATGGCTTCCCTTTGACAGGTGCTCCATGTATTTCTTTAGAAGTTAGAGCCTTCAGTAAAAGTCTTATCCTTGCTAAATCTATGCAAGTGTGTCTGCAGGACACATTTTCACACAAATGCTCTTGCAGTGAAATAACTTCAAGAAGTTGCTTAACCCAAGGAGAGGCAGGTCCAGGCTGAGCCAGCTGCACAGCCCTTCATCTTGTAATTTTATGAAATTAATCAAATTCCTCTCTGTCTCCAATGATATTCTTCTGTAACACTTCTCTCATCTGATTGCTCTCTAAAATTAGGTGGCAAGATCTCTGGTGAAAGAAACCTTTCTCTTGCATGTGGAACACGGTATTACAGATTTCTAAATGGTCATAGAGTAAGAAAGAGTGTTTGGTCTCTCAATTATTTAGATGTTTTTCTCTGTGTTTTTCTCAGTGACTGTCTCACAACCTACAAGAAAACCTGATTCATCCTGAAACCTGACTCAACGTTGTTACTCCAGCTAATGAGGGGTTGCTGTGTCTCTAGCTGTGCCCTTGGTGCTGCTCTGCAGGAGGAGGGCTGCTGTGCCCCTTCCCAGTGCCTTAAACCAGCCCATGGCAGGCCTGTGCTGGGCTGAGCTCTGGCTGTACCCAAAACCTTGTGTGCTGGCTTGTGAGCCAGTGGGGCTGATTTGGTCCCCTGCATCACAACTGATGGACAGAACAGAAGCAAGCATAACAAGAGTGTGTGAGACAAAGATCATCTAATAAGAGCTGATACCTCTCCTGGCAGACTTAGTCTCCATAGGAACTGTCTTAGAAATAAATGTATGTCTCGGAGACAGTTTCCTGCCAGGCTTCCCATGGAGTAGGTCATTTATGAGCTACTGCAGGGCTGTGCTTTAAAGTTTCTTTTAGCCTCTTAGAGGCATCCAACTATCTTTTGATTCTTTGTTTTTGGAGAGCTAACTTTTGGTAGACTCAAGGGCTGAAGAATTGTCACCAGTTTCAAGAGAAAAAATGTGTCTAAATGCCTTTGCTGGACACCCATGACTGTACTGGGTCCAAGGGTGGCTCTGAAATGAGATTATTATCCATAATTCAGTAATTTTTGATAGGCATCTTCTGTCAGGAAAGAGAATCATTTACAGGAGATTCTGATTCCTTTCTGGAGGTGACTTGATTCAAGTGGGTCAAATTCCTTACCCTGTGCTATTTTCAGTGTCATATTTTATTAAGGAATTTATCCATTTGACATTCTTTTCACTACACTCCTGGGTCACTTTTAAGTAAGGGAAGTAAGTTCAGTGCTTCTGTTCAATAATTGATTGCCTGAATCAATTATTTTGATGTTCTTCATGAGCAGATGTTACCTTTGAACTTGGTTTGACAGCAAGCCTTTATAACTTTATTTTTTAGCAGGAGTCTTGCAGAACAGTTATTAAAAGTGAACATACAGAGTAGATTGCCATTGGTTGGGGAGTGCTACAGTTCAGCAGATGTTGGCAGAAGCATAACCTGTGGCACCCATGTTGTGTGCCATAGATTCTCCTTTTTTTGCAAAAACTCAGCTGCTCACTTCATGGTGGGGAAAACACATCAAGCAAATATATACACAAATTGATTTTGTGAACATAGTAAACTGTTCTTCTGTTGCCACAATAGCTAAACATTCAGCCTGCACAAATACTGGTGGCTAGGTATTTCTGTTTGTAGTGATATATATCTGTAGAGGATGCTTGAACAAAGACTGACTAAAGTGAAAAAAAAAATTAGTTTAACAAACTAGCATGGCAATTGCAGTGCCTGCATACAGTTACAGATCTCAAAATCTGGAGTCCAGCTACTGTTCTTTAAGACTTCTGAAGAAAGCTGTGTGGTGGTTCCCTTAGCCACAGGCTGTATTTATTGTTCCTGGATATGAGCAAGGGACACCTGCTGATGGACTGTGATAAGAGGAACAGTGGCTGGAGGCTGCTCCCTGCCCACCTCTGTGTCCTCTCCTTTGACTGTTACCAGGGAGACAGACAGAGATTAACCAGGAGCCACCCATCAGAGCCCAGGAAGAAACAGGATTGAAATTTTCTTCAAAGAAAGCAGGGGGCTGAGTGCAAATTTGCAGATATAGGGATTTTTGGTTTTAATCTAAACATTTGTTGCAATATTTGGATGGAGTATTTTTTAACTGGAGTCAACTGCAGAGATGTAAGGCTCCCAGACTAAGATCAAAGCTTGTAATCATGCAAGAAGGCAGGGGAGAGGTGGTCCTTGCTCTGATGAAAGCTTTGCTGGACTAACATCTGCAGTGCAGGAATTACTTCATAACATTTCCTTTTCTTTATGAAAAAAATAGTCAGGCCACATATGGTATCTGTAAAACAGCAGAGATAGAGTCATGAATGCCTTTGAAAAGGCCTCATTAATTTATTTGTCACAATGGCTTTAGCATTGGTTCAATTTTTTAAAAGACAAAAATACTGTATTTGCTTATAAATCTGCAATGGAAATTGTTACAGGCTCACTGCTTTGGCATGCTCAGTGCTGCCCTTCTTACTGTCAGTTGATTACCTGAAAGTTTGTATTAATAGTGAAAGAGAAATTCGATGCTTTGGGTGACCCAAACTTAGTTTCTGACAGTGCCACATTTCTCCTGGAAGCCTTAACCCTGCTGCACTGTACTTCTGCACACACAGTTGTCCTGGTTAACAATGATGGTGGGGGGGATGCTGGAGTTAAACATGTTCAAATATGAAGTGTTCAGGTGCTACAAGAGTGGGGAGAGGGCATGTAAATACCCATGCAGATCCCAAGAGTATCACTCAAAGCACAATATTTGTGCTTTGGATATTGAACACTATACAAAAACGGGGTAAGTAGCATTTTCCAAGTAGGCCAAGTCAGGGCCAAAAAAAGACACAGGAAGATGAGGTGACTTGCTAACCAGCTAGCAGCTAATGCAGGCATACAAATCTCAGCTTTGACATCAGTGTTCATTGACCCATTCAGCTTTTGGAGGTCCTGACCAGCAATGTTTTGTCAATGCAGAGCAGGACAATTTGTGTAAAGTGATTTTAGAGGAAGAACTGAAATTCCATACTGACTAGTGGCACTCACAAAATTGCTTTTAGGCCATGTCCTGTGTGCTGCACGTCAGGGCCTTATGGTGAACACTGCATTGGTTAAATGCTGTGTGAAGCTGTTTGCTTTCAAGGTGTCTGAAAATAGGAAAGAAATGCTCACACGGTTGTTGTTAAGAAAGTGAATTTTGTTTTTCAGTCATAAAAACTATGTCAGGATCAACAGTGTTGTTGATTTTGCTCCAGGGGTAAGCAAATTCCATATAATGGCTTTCAGGTGGGAGCAAAACACAGTCTGTCTG